CATGTGGACGACTGTGGTACTTCAATTTTTTTAGGTAAGGCGTCAACCATTCTTTGATGTCATAGTCATTTTCCATGTAGACTGTGGATGGTTGAGGAGTATTGGAGGTACCGATCACTTGCCCCAATGAAGAAATGGTTTTTGCATCCTTAGTGCAACGGAGAAACTACTAAACATCTAACAAAAATGTTCGAAACGTTATCAGTAATTTTGAATAGCAATGATACAATACCTGATCGATGTCTTCACGAGCCTACAATCAAATACGACAATTTGCCCTGAAAAGAAAAACATCAGCTCGCTTTGTTTCAGTTGTTGATATTTCTCACATTGTTGTATTCTAAAATTAAATACCAGGCATATTATTGATTTGCACTGTTGATCCATTCTTGCCCTTATTCATCTTCTACAGAGAATACTGAGAAGTCTGGCTACGGGTCTTCTTCTGGCTCTCTATATGTCCCAAAAAACTTATTAAACACTGTTGAGAACCACGATTGTTTCTAAAACAGTTGTAAGAGGTTTGGATATCTAAATTTAACGGTGGTAGCAGCTGGTCAGTAATAGCCTTAGCTTCTCGAATTGGTACAGGCCGCCCATATTAGGGTCGTGTCCAATCTTCTCGTTAGGTCTTGAGAATCTTTGAACTGAAACCCAGAAACATAACGAAGGTTAAACAGGTTAAACATTATGTTAACGATTAATTGATTTTTTAAAACATATGCATGGACACGAGAAACTGTTCTGAACGACGCCATCTTGCTTCACTCTTCAAAGGCCTAACATCAGTGATGTCACCAAAATTTTTGATAATATAGTATCAATCGTAATTCATGCCGGGATAGTTGTCAATCCTGTGCAGTTTTCCCCTAGCCTGAGAGTTGTAAGTTCTGTTTTGGTTTTGTAAGTGTGTATGTTTTAGTTGGTTGTTAACTAATAACGACGTACCTTGAAGGGCCCACAGGAAGATATCTAGCTTCTTTCCTCTCCGAAATGCGGTATTGCATGAGGACCAGGCGTGAGCTCTCCCAGCAGTTTTAASCTGGAGTTACCGAACGCCATGTCTACGTCATTTTCTTGATCCCTAAGAACCATTGTTTTCCCATTTTTGATATAAAAAAGAATTGYCTAAAACAAAGAATATAATCATGTTAAAATTTCGTGGTTCGCTTTCAATAATGGCATATTATTAAAGGCTTGCTCCTTTTGGATTGAGAGGATAGTTATATGGATGTGAAGTCGTTACTTCACAATAAATTGTATGTGATTAAGTAAATCGTGGATCTTTTAACTTTGGTGTTTTCCCAAAACTTCGGTGTGCACGCTGATCGGCTTTTAATTAGAGAAATTACTATTTGGATATACTACTTTTTACAAAGGGARAAAACTCGTTATAGACTTCCTTTGATTACTTATTCTAATTAATAGACTTTATAGCAATTAAGGAAAGTGAATAACGTATATTTTCTCGTAATTCCCATGTTTGAGCCATAGCCAGGTGTATATCAACCGGGTATATCACCAGAAAAACAATTGGCAATGAGAGGCTGGCACTCGCGGTATTTATACTGATCCATAGTATTCTTTTAAATAACGAGAGTCAAATCAAGAATCGAATCATATATTTTACGAAGCCAAGATATCGATGTGTTCAATAAAAATATGTTAGTATAAAAGACATTCACGACCGCTACGACCCTTACGACCACGACGACCCTCACGACCACTACGACCACTACGACCCTTGCAACCACTACCAACCTAGTATGTTTTAAGGTTTCAATTGAAGCTCGTATGTAGACTTCATTTTCTAACTTGAGAAATTATAATTTCAAGGACACTTCATAATTAAATGAAATTAATCTATGTTTATCTATTTATTTATGTATAAATATTTGCTTTAAGAATTGTTGGCAATAGTAGTTTCTTCTGATGTTGTTGTTGTCTTCATTTGTTTTCATTTCTACAGGTTTCCCACCTCGACACTTGAAGCAAAAGATAGAGAACCTCAAAAGCATACAGTAGAAGACTATAAACTTTGGCTCATTCTGGCTTTTGGTGTTGGGTTCGACTCTGAAAGATATCAAAAATAATGAAATATTATTAATAATATAATATTACTAGTATTATAGGAAGCTAAATAATAATATTGTCATGCCCACTCTTTGTCATTATTATGATCATCGCAGAACTTACTCAATTGATTGTGTGGTTGTCTTGTGGCTTTCTTCCTCCAAATTATTGATATCKTCTTCAGTAGCAGCCCAGTCAACATCTTCTGTATCCATAGGTTCAATTTCGCTCTCGGTATCGTCTAGATCTTCTAGTTCTTCTCGCAGGTGCTCGCCATCACTTTCCTTTTCTTCGTCTATTTCATTCGTGTCACCCTCTCCCTCAACATCGTACCGTGGGTTCTCTCTCATCTGTAAAAGCCGAAATAAGCCAAAATCAAYTATCTATTTTTTTATCACCTTTATCAGTAACAAAGGGGCAGTAAACTTTAATGGAGAATATTGAAGGAAGAAATAAATCGCCCATAGAAGCCTTTCTCACCGTTATAATTTCTGTTTGTAGACAAGAGATTTTCCCCCAAAGTCGACTGTTCTGCTTTTGAACTCTGTGTAATTCCTTTTTCGTCTCAATACACTTTCCACATGACTTGCGGGTTAGGGTTAACATTAACGGTAGCTGTCTGAGGTAAGTATGAAGAAGTAGAAGTGGTAGGGGTTACAAAATTTGACGTATCATCATCTGTGTTCACAATGGCAGCTTCGGAATCCGTTTCGAGATCGACCTCAGGCGATTRAGCATGCGGTTGATGGGCATTTCGAAGAACCTAGGATTGGAAGAAAAAAATGGATATGGTAAGAAAAAAGCTTTCGAGAAATAGGTCATCAATAATTTTTGAAGTCTTTTTATTTTAGTAAAACCAATTCATCGAGACACTGCGTTCATAGTTCATAGTTCATAACGAGTTTTCATATAGTCGACTTACTTGTCTTCCATCTCGAGGCATTTGTAATTTTGTTATTTGAGGAGCAACGTAATCCRTGGTTGGCATTGCATCCTTCACCAGGCTTTTCAATGTTGGTATATCCGATTTTGCTTCRACTGAAATGTCTAAGCGTCTCACATAACAAGTACGCTCAAAGTGTGCAGAGCACAAAGCAGACGTCTATGTTGGGTTGAACTYAGGCCTGAGATTCACTAACAGGAAAACGATGCATCGAGATACCTGGTGTGTAAGTTGTATTGGTACAACTGACACTGCCATGGCCTCCAGCTATTCAATATTTACCTCCACGTTACTGCAAGATAAAAAGCAGGACATAGTGAAAAGGGCGAAATCATTCTCATAATGTAGATAACTTACTATTAGGTACGGCCGGTAATTAATATTAGGGGATGGGGGTGGGAGGACTGCTATACAGTCGACTCTCCCGTAAGCAACCACCTCGGGGCCAGAAGATGGTCACTTACGAGAGCTAACACAGGAACCCCAAACAATGAACCCCAAGAATCCCAACACAGGAAGCTCTTGGTACTTCTTCAATTTTGCTTTCTTGTTCAGCTTTTTTACAACTGACTTGGAAAGATGCCACACATCATACTGGTGTTTGATGTGGCTAAAATCTTTTGCCATGGTGCTGGTGATGGATGTTTGTCTGTCAGTTGTGATACATTTTATACTGACCGTGTCTTCTAAAGTGTTCAAACACCTTAGAAACCCCTCTTTCTCTATAGCATTGGAGCTGGTTACTTCAGAGACTTGAACTATGCTGAAGGTGGCAATTTTCCCTGTGCTTGTCTCCATCATAGTATATGTGCCATATTTAGCACTATGGCCAGGACTGTCACTTCGGCCATCACCATTGAGATTTACTATGTCCTTATTTGACAGCTCTTCAATTACAGCAGCCTCCTCTCTCTTCCAAGCATCATTAACAACAGGAAATAGGTAACG